TTGGCATGTCATCGGGCTAACGCGTATTCCAGCTCCCCACATGCGTCCTTACACGTGAGTTAAATGATGGATTGACAAAGTAATGCGATCAGCACTATCTGGTCGCTTTAAAAGAGAGCCCTCGTTGGCAGGGACGGGGACCTCGGGCGCTGGACCCACTGGCATGTGGGATGTGCAAGGCCCCTTCGGCTAGCGGAGAGTGCATGATCGCACACTGCTAGAACAGCATTTGCGACATAAACATACCGTCAGCAGTGGCGCGGGCCGGTGTTTGTGTCAGTACGCGCTCACATGACCGCGTTCCGAATCCACGTCGTCAATGCAGCCCGCTTGAGGCGCTGCAGCGGGCGGCGCGACCTCCATCATCGCATGCCTCCTTCATCAGCCTGTAACCAAATCTGCCCCTCAGATACTCCCCTTGAATCCTGCGAGTACAGCAACCCTATGCAGAAATCGCAGCAGTGAGACAATCACGCAGCGTCCGACGTAATCCCAAACTGCGTATATAACATGGGAGCTGCGACAGCGACGAGTTCCCCATTCTCTTCTCTTCTCTTCCACTTTGCTCTGAGCTGTGCTCGGACACTGAATTTTACACTTCTTTCGTCTTCACTTCGCCGTCTTTCTTTTCATCATGGTCAAGTTCGCCACCTCCCTCATTTTCGCCCTCACTGCGATCGCTGTGAACGCCGTGCCGCTCGAGAAGCGCATCTCACAGACCATCTCCGCCTCGACCACCAAGTGGGTCGATGCCTGCGTACGTACTTTCTCTTAGCACCTCTGAGTAAATGTCACGCTGACCCCGCCCCATTCTAGAATAAGGCGGGCGGAGCGGACCAGTGCAGCAACATTTCTGTAACAGCATTCACGACCCTCTTGGCCGCAGCCGGGCCCTGCGACCAGCAGAACTCTGCGGACGCGATGATCGACCTCGCCAAAACACTCAACAACGACCCGGACATGATCAAGTTCGCCCAGATCTTTTCCCAGCAGCCGCGTAACTCGGTGCGCACCACACCTGTCTCCGTCACTCTTGCCTGAGCTTACCAACTGAGCGCGCACCGTTCAGCCCACCGGCGAGTCCGTGCAGTACTGCCAGCAGGCTCCGAAGAACGCCGAGCTCAACGGCCTCTTCCAGTGCCAGTTCCAGAGTGCGAAGGCGACCACCTTCGTTGGCGGTGTTGCGGTCGGCGGCACCGGCACCATTCCGTTCGGCCAGAGCGCAGCCCTCTCGCCCGCTGGATCATGCCCCGCGAACCCGACGGGCCCCATCCCTGACGGCGAGCAGCTCAGCGACATCACCCAGGACCCTGGTCTCGCCAACGTCAGCAGTGGTTCCAGCGCCGGCTCGGCGGCACCTCCCGCCTCGTCTGCCCCCGCTGCTGTATCGTCCGCCGCCGCTGTGACTTCCTTCGCACCTGCAGCTGCCTCGACCGCCGCAGCTGCATCGGCTGTCTCGTCCGTTGCCGCTGCGTCCACCGCCGCTGCTGCGCCCCCGGCTTCAACCTGCTCTGCCACGAAGAAGCGGAATGCGATGAAGAAGCGGATTTCTCAGGACACCGTCGCTGCGGCGACTCCCTGGGAGGATGCCTGCGTATGTCCTACAGCTCTCAGATCTGTTCCACATCACGACTTATCCGCTGACGAACTGTTACAGAACAAGGCTGGCGGCGCGGACAAGTGCAACCCCATCGCTGTAACCGCGTTCGGCACGCTCCTCGCAGCGGCGGACCCGTGCGCCCAGCAGGACTCCGCCGACGCGATGATCGACCTCGCCAAGACACTCAACAACGACCCGGACATGATCAGGCTCGCACAGATCTTCTCGCAGCAGCCGCGCAACACGGTACGTACCTCCCTCCCCTCTTCCCTCCCCTCCCCATCTCCTCGATGTGATCTACGTGCACACGGCGCTGATGCCACTGCGTGCCTCCCCTTGCAGCCGACGTCCCAGGCCGTGCAGTACTGCCAGAAGGCACCGAAGAACGCAGAGCTGCAGGGCCTCTTCCAGTGCCAGTTCCAGGGCTCGTCGCAGGCCACGTTCGTCGGCGGCGTCGCGGTCGGCGCCCCGGGCACGATCCCCTTCGGCCAGACCACCCCGCTCTCGCCCGCGGGCTCGTGCCCCGCGAACCCCACAGGCCCGATCGCAGACGGCACGCAGCTCGTCGACCTCACCCAGCAGCCGAAGGCGAGCGGGGGTGCGGGCAGCGTCGCGGCGCCCCCGGCGCCGACGGGCGTCGACACCGGGGACGCGTCGTCCGACTGCGAGTGAGGGACATCTGGAGCCTGGCGGGCTTGGAGGTGTACCGTGTGGGTGCGTGGGACTGATGGCGATGGTGGTGGTATTGTCTAGGTGATTGATGTTTGAAGTTGGAGACGAATAAAGTGTTTGATTCATCTATGTGCCGGCTATGGTTTTCCCTAGGCAGACAAAGGTGATATTTTTGAGGGAAGGGAGAACGATCACACGTTGACCCCAGAGATGCATTCCGGGCGGGTATGTTCACGATGTATCATACTGCGATGCAATGTAGTTGTATCGGGTTCGGTGTCGTGATGGCATACAGTCGCCGTAGCAAGCTGAAAGATGTGATGTGCTGCGGGATGGTCAGTGTATCTGGGGTGTAAGCTCTATCACGACTGCCGACATACTACGTACCCTGTTTTGACCAAAGCCGGGAACATAATTGCTGACGAGTGCTACTCTGTTTAGACGCGCCGCAGTGACCTGGAGTCAACAGCCGCGGGAAGTCTAACTGTGCATCAGTGTCCCACTGCAGCCGCCGGGGGGCTATGTCGTCGTTCTTCGATCTCCTGGTTGAATCTGGACGGCCACTATCGCATTGGTGATCCTGCCGTGATACTGAGGAACTTCGAGCATCTGTGAGTATCTGTCGAACATGATAGCCTGCGCGAGTTAGTAGATACTCAGGACTGACTCGACGTCTTGTAGCCTCCGCGTCGAGTAGTGCAATCGATGCACACGCCCAATCCGAATGCGACTTCTGAACACCTACACGGGTGCCTTTGAATGGCATCACGACCCGAGCACCGTGCGGTATGCGATCCTCTCGCACGTCTGGGACGTAGCAGGGGAGCAATCCTACAAGGACGTCCTCCGGATCAGCAAACAGCTGCAGCGAACCCCTCCCGACGGCCTACCCCCACCTACCCTGCTCTCCCAAGTATCCCCGAAGATCCGGGACTGCTGCGCCTACGCCCGCGAGAACGGCTACACCCTCCTCTGGATCGACTCCTGCTGCATCGACAAGTCCAGCAGCGCCGAGCTCTCCGAGGCGATCAACTCGATGTACCAGTGGTACGCACAGTCCACCGTCTGCTACGCCTTCCTCTTCGACGTGCGCAGCCACGAGGACCCGCGCGCCGCCGCCTCCTCCTTCTGCCGCAGCAAGTGGTTCACGCGCGGCTGGACGCTGCAAGAGCTCCTCGCGCCCCTCCGCGTCGTCTTCCTCGCCGGCGACTGGCGCCCCCTCGGCACGCTGAGCAGCCTTGCGGCGGCAGTCGCAGAGGTAACTGGCATCGAGCGCGGCGTGCTCCTGCACCACACGCCGCTGCGCACGGTGAGCGTCGCGCGGCGCATGGCGTGGGCCGCGCGCCGCGTCACGACGCGCGTTGAGGACGAGGCGTACTCGTTGATGGGCCTCTTCGACGTCATGATGCCGACGATCTACGGCGAGGGCCGCGGCGCGTTCGCGCGCCTGCAGGAGGCGATCCTGAGGCAGGCCCCGGACCAGACGCTGTTTGCGTGGGGCCGCGCGCTGCGCCCCGAGGCGCACCCGGACGGGATACGCCCGGCGGTGCATTACTTTACGCTGGACAACGTGCTCCCGCGGGAACGCAACCTGTTCGCGTCCGCGCCGAGTGATTTCGCGGGGTGTGCGGAGATGGAGCCGGAGCCGCATTTGCAGCTCGCGGAGCGGCTGGGCGGGCTCGAAGTCCCATTTCCCGAGTACACGTCGACGGGGTTCGGGATCCGCACGCGGATGCCGGTGTTGCCCCCCAAGGAAGGCTCGAGGCATTCCATCTACATCGGCGTCCTGGCCTGCGTGGGCGGCGACGGAAACCTCACCGGCCTCTTCTTGCACGCGAACCGCACCTGGATGTCGAACGGGTATTACATCGGCATGGACAAGGACGATGACGGGATCGTTTATCGCACGGTCTCGCTCACGGACGAAGTTTTCGCACAGTGGGAGCCGCCCGAGGTCGTGGAGGTGTATCTGCCGACAAGGGTTATGACGAGCAGTCCGTGGATCGAGGCGCCGCCGGAGAGCTTGAGCGACGCGTTTGCGACCTACGATATCTTGCTCCCTGAGTGGCGCATACGAGAGCTCGAGGCGCAAGGATACACCCAGCGGCGCTGTCGGCAAAACCCAGACCACCGACATATCGATTTATCTTGTCGAGACTTGAGTGGTCCTCCGCGATCACCATCGAGTTCAACAGTTGCATTTGCCTCCCCGATACTGAGGAGGATTCGTACAGGATGCGGGTCACAGTGACCTCCCAAGCCGGTCAAGCGCACGGGCCTGTCGACACAATGATCGGTCAGTCCACCGCTACGCCATTAATGGAAGAAGACTCTCCACGCCTCGGGGTTACTCACGACATCGCTCACCCCGAGCACGTCAACAACTCGAGTTGGTTCCTAGATGACGAGTCGTGTACCGCGGTGTCCAAGGACTTCCTCTGTTGCGCGGAGGATGGGCAGGTTACCGAGGCCATCCGGCTTACGCTGAGCCCTTCTCCGGAGCAATGGGCATCCTACGGCACGCCACAAACTTGGAGTACTGTGTATACCCTGGATATAGGCATCATCGATCGAAAGGACGTAGTGGATATGCTTGATAGCTAGTAGTTGAAAATGGACTCGGGCCTGGGGCGGAAGCTGGGATCGTCGGAATCGTACTCTTTGAAATTTTATACCCTTAAGCTTTGAGTGTATGCCAGGGGTCTAGATCCTACCGTCTTCACCTTCGGTCCTTGTCGATTAGTGGTCAGATCATCACGTTGTGGCACTCACAAGTCCGTGAAGACGCAGGCTCGAATCCTGCCTGGGACACGTTGTCTTGCTTTTTGCACCGCTCGTGGTCAATCTGCGAGCGCAGGAATGCTCAGGAAGACCAAGCAGCGGATGAAATATTCCCGGTACACTATAGATTATATGGACCTTATATGTAAGCACGAGTGAATGACGGCACGACGAGGATGATATCCAAAGCTCCCCAGGGCCCTTACACAGCACAGCTCTCTGGCCATACGAGCAGTGTTAAGGATGTGCACGCGACGGGGTTCCGTTAGGTGCGTCGTGATTTGTGGAGGATGTCGGGAGCGCAGCGGGCGCGCTCGCGTAAGCCTGGAGCGGGGCGGAAGAGCGCCCTTGCGTCGCGCCCTGGCTGGCAAGCAAGACCCGATACGAGGTCGCGGAGGAATGCGTCGACCAAAAGGCGTCGTACGTCAATCCAGAGCCGGAATTGCCGTTCGCGGACGTGTTTGGCGGCAAGGACGCGGTCGGCGAAGTCTGCGGAGGGGGGAGGGGTATAGGCATGGCAGATGTGGTCATCATGGTTCGTAGCGCGGCGAGTTGGGAGTCGATGTGTTCTGTTGGTTCCATGGGGTCGAACGGTTCTCGAAACGGCGATGCCGCAGACGGCTGAGGGACTGTATGCGAGGATAAAGGTCCAGATGAAGGTGTCGTGTGATGTGCTTGCGCAGAGTTCGCGGTACGCGGCGTTGTCAAACTGGGGGCAGACTCGATGATGACAGTGGCTGTTGAGTCTGATCGTGAGATTGGGTAGCGTGTAACCGAACCACTAAGGCCCAGGTGAGGGGCATGCGGCGTTTGGGGGTGTCCCGCGTTCAATATGGGGGTAGTAGGAATTGACGGATTTGCAGAAGTGTCAAGGCTCGAACTCGATGCTAAGCAAAATACGTGAGGGGCAGTGTACATGTGCGCACGAGGACACGTACAGGAACTCGCTAGGCTGCCATTATTTCGTAGGCCTGAGTTTGGGCCAGATACGGAGAATGGACCACTTTGTGATGTTGCTTGGTCGGGATGGAGTTTAGATGTCATAGAGGATCCGCCAGCATGAGAAGCTGTGGCGTTGAGAGCTCCGTTGTGGGACAGCGTACGTCCGTTCCGTCTTCCTCCAGGTGAAATGACAGGGTACGGACGCGTCAGGTGTGTATGTCGAAAGTACAGGTTCTCAACCTCGCTCAGTGATTGTCTTTGCTACGTAGAGTGTTAGGTATCTGGAGGAAATCAATCTAACGGTGCACATACCCAGCCATGCTCTACCTTGAGCTTTGCGTATTGGAGACGAAGGCGGAGTTGACCGGAGAGCTACGGAGATGTTAGGCCATGAGAGAATAGCTTAGGCAGTAGATCCACATACATAGTTGGCCTTTGCTCTATCGACTGTGCCTTTCGACCGGTCCGCACCTACGTGCGACGAATCCATTACCTCCCCTTCGAGCTTGCGTTTCTTCGAGTCAGATGTAAGGAGCAGTCCATACGGAGACTGATCTGACATTGGCGGCAGAGTTCTGGAAGGATAGACAATGTCGCAGCGTGACGGTGTAAACAACAAGAAGGATTACAGCGGCAAGCAGAAGGGGGTGATGCAGAGGAGGGGGAGGAACGCGCGACCCGACGTCGCGGCAACCGTCGCGAAAACATGGGCGTGTTAAGTCACGTGGAATGCCGGACGGCGGACACGAAGGGTTATACGCACGCATACGCTCTATGTGGACTGCTAACCAACATCTAACAAGTCTCTGTTAGTATATCGGTTAGTACACGCGCCTGTCACCACACGCGGTACGCGCGAAAGCGGGGTTCGACTCCCCGACAGAGAGTAATTTTTGCTCCTTACCGTACCCGTCGACTGCACCCGAGCTCAGCCACCTCTGTAGCTGCTGTTTGCGCACGACCCTCACCTTCGTCTCTCCTAGTACTCGTCGAGCTCGTGCCGGAGTCTTCGACATATCCTTTGCTGTAATGCTACGGTCCGCCTCCGTCCACACACTCCCGCGTCCATCACTTTCGTCCCGGTTCGTGGCCCGCCGTGCTGCTTCGACCACCTCCCAACCGTCCGCCCGTTCCTCTACTCGTACAGCGGCCTACGCTTCTCTCTTCGTTGTCTCCACCGGCATCTTTGCAGTCTACTACCTTGATGCACGAGCTTCTTTCCACAAATACGTCCTCACGCCCGTCATTCGATACACGCTCGACCCCGAGGCAAGTCATCGGCTCGCTGTGAGGGCGCTCGGCTCGGGTCTTGCTCCCCGCGATCCCGTAGCAGACGACGAGGTCCTAGAGATTGAGGTAAGCTATGGATTATTAGTATCCCACAAACGCGTTGCAAACGAATGCGTGTTCCAGCTATGGGGCGAGAAGCTATCGAGCCCACTCGGGCTCGCAGCCGGTTTCGACAAGAACGGCGAAGCCATAGACGGTCAGACCGTTCCCTCTCGCGCCCCGACGTGTCTTTACCTCCGTGACAGGTCTTTTCAACCTCGGTTTCGCTTGGGTCGAGATTGGTAGCGTCACGCCTAAGCCGCAGCCTGGTAACCCCAAGCCGCGCGTATTCCACCTCCCCGCGGACTCTGCGCTCATTAACCGCTACGGATTCCCCTCGGACGGACACGCCGCCGTGCTGTCCCGCCTCCGCGCCCGCCTGCCCTCCGTCTTCGCGTACGCACCCGAGGCTGAAGACCCGCTGCACGGCGCAGAGCACGCCTCGCTCTACCCCGGCAAGCTGCTCGCCGTGAACCTGGGGAAAAACAAGTCCTCGCCCCCAGATTCCATCACTGACTTTGTCACGGGCGTGCGCACGTTCGGTCCGTACGCCGACGCGCTGGTCGTGAACGTCTCGAGTCCGAACACCCCTGGCCTGCGGTACGTCCAGCGCCCGTCCGCCAACGGTGAACCGTACACGCGAACTCACCCTGTGTCGTCAGCGGTATGCAGAGCCGCACGCTGCTCGAAGAGCTCCTCGCGGGGGTGACGGCAGCCCGGGACGAGCTCACCGCGTCGTCCCCCCAAAACCACCGTCCCAAGCTGCTGCTCAAAATCGCGCCCGACCTGGACGAAAACGAAGTGGCAGACATCGCCGCCGCGGTGCGCGCGACACCCGGCGTCGACGGCGTCATCGTCAGCAACACCACCGTGCGGCGGCCCCCTGGGATCCTAGACGGTCCGCACCCCTCGTTCCCTCCACGCCAATTACTTATGCTGACGCACACCCGCAGCCAACAAAGCGGAGCAAGGCGGCCTCTCCGGGCCCCCGCTCAAGCCATACGCGCTCACGACCCTCCGCACGCTGCGCGCCCTCCTCCCCGCGCAGATCCCGCTCATCGGGTGCGGCGGGATCGCGTCGGGCGCGGACGCGCTCGAGTACGCGCGTGCGGGCGCGGCCGCCGTGCAGCTGTACACCGCGTTCGGGTATGGCGGCGTCGGCGTGCCGAGGCAGGTCAAGGACGAGCTCGCGGCGCTGTTGCGCGCGGAGGGCACGACGTGGGCGCGGGTCGTGAGTGAGTCTGTCGAGCGGCAGAGTTTACAGGAGGCAAAGGCGCCCGCGGAGGAGCAAGGGGGCCAGGAAGTGAGCGTGAGGCTGCTCGTACAGGAGGCGGAGGAGCTGAAGCGGTTGCTGGACGGGTTGGGGGAGCGCATGGAGCGGACGGCAGAGGAGGGTGTGAGGCTGTGAGCGTCGCGGAGGGCGCGCAGTATGTCGCTGTTACTCCGAGTCCGACTGATTCATGACAGAAATGCGGTCTGTCTTTTGCCGTTTACCGTGTGATTTGGCCGTTGGGTGTGAGGGATTGCTGTGAGGTGCGGTGGTTGCTAGCGACTACATCGCAACTCGCCTATAGTACCCTTGCATGTTGAGGCCCCTCGGCGGCAAGTGATAACAGCCTTGCACTAACGTGCCCTACGCGGTGATATCTAGACATTAGAATACATCAGTAGATCAGTTTCGCATTGCGTTTGTCCTCCCTTTGAACATGAGGAGCCAACCTTGCGCACGCTCTGAGATCTGAATCGGCCGGCGCTGGCAGTGAGTGTTGATGGAGGGCGCGTCCCCCGGCCGTAGGCACTGTGCTGAATCGTTCGACGACTTTATAATCACCTGTACAATCCGCCTGAGGAAGAATGACTTCACCCGTTTGTGGTACGTCCAGTTATGCCTAGCTATGCACGCTGCGGCGCCCAGACGTGTAGTTTCACTGTTACTACCGAGCGGCGCGGTCCTATACGGTTGAGTTGAAACTCAATTTGAATATGACATGCACTCGCGATCACGTATTTGCGATGGCATTGTGCCAAAAGCGCCCAACGACATCCACCTTAAATTACTCTGTAGCGCCGACGAGCGGCAGTCCCCGCTACCGTTGGTGTCAGTTGGTGGCGATGTGGCATGTGTACTACGTGCAATGGAGTACAAGGGTCTCGGTGCGCAAAGGTACTAAAAGGCTGTGGTGTACATGTTATATAATTGTAGAGGTAAGGAATTCGTTCTGGTGGGGGGCGTTCAAGCGAGGTTGAGAGCGCTAAGTCCAAATGGTGAGTGAGGATGAAGCGTATGAGTGAGATGCACGTACATGATTGTTTCGTAGTATGTCACAACGTTGTCGAAACGGGCGAGGGTGCGGTCGGATTCCGGGATCGGCGTAAGTGGGATGGTGGTGTTCTGGGTGCGAAAGGTGAAGAAATGTTGTTGGTCGGCGAAGGTGACGGCCGTTTTGTGAGCGTTGTCGACGCGGGTGATGTAAACGGAGCCATATACACTGGACAGTGTAGGGGAATATACCAAGTCCACAATACGGGGGGAGGGCTTGTTGTGGTCTGGGTTGTTGTCACTCGGGGCGGCGGAGGTGGTGGTGGTGAGGAGATGGGCGAGCAAAAGAGCTAGGTGCATGGCCGAAGAGGATGCTTCGACGCGGAGGCCAAAGTGGACGACGTGGGTTGCATAGTTATGCACTAAACCAGAGTGTATGTCACCACATGAGCAGAGCAGGAGGCGGCGTCGCATTGTCGAAAAGATGGGTGTTGTATAGTCCGCCGTTCTTGGGCTGTGATGGCGTTAGTGGCAGTTCCCGGGTTTGTGGTGGTATTTGCCGCGAGTAAATGCGTCGACTGTTTGTAAACTGTCGCGGAAACAGAACAACATCGCAACATGACTGTGCGGGATATCAGACAGATCCACGGGATATACAACACATAGACGCTCCAGAAGAGAGAGCAAACAATCAAACGGACGGAGGACTACTCCATTATAGATTGAGTCGACTGTCGCAACGCTGCCGGAGTTTCGACAGCTCCTGCAATTTGACGGCAGCCTACCTGAGCACCATGAGTAACATGGGACTCACATGCTCCAGACAAAACGTGCATGATCAACGAGTGCTGCAGCTCTAGCACATTGTCACCACTGATCCCATGAGAGGCACAGATGCTTCGCAAGAAGTCTACTGACACGTCGGAACTGAATACACCTTGGCTTTCAGCCGCTGGCACTATGATGCCGACAGCATGCGCAATGTTATTCGGCATCTCTGCACGGGCCCCCTGCGATATACTCCCAGAGCCACGGGAGGACGACGCTTCACTCCGGTCGTCAGCGGAGAGCACAGAGTCAACTGCTGCGCTAGCAGTATATGAAATGGGCAAATACGAAGACGTTCCTTCTGGGAAACTTAATATACTCCTTGTTATTAGGGGAAGCCGCGTACCTGTGCTCACGAAGGGAGCCTGCGTCCAGGTGTGACCTTCAGACAGCGTTACCGGGGTGGTAGAGGAGGGGTCGCAGACAAATGTCTGCAATGCTCGCCCCTGTCGCAGCCAACCTGTCGCGACAAAGGACCACAACGTGATTTCAGACATAGGTGACGAAGAACGGCATTTTAGACGTACACCATCCAGACGGCGTTGATACGCGGACAGGTTCCTGCGACCACAGATCCACGCCATTTGATTTGAATGACATTCAGCGAGGAATGTTGCCTCTCAAAGTGAATTGACTGGAAAGCAAAGACTGCGGGGCTGTGTAGTCCAGGAGTGCGGAGACTGGGTGTCCATCGTACGAAGCACAGATGGCAAGCATCATGAATGAAGGACAAGTAGGATGCGAGTGAGGGTAGATGAAAGAGTAATTGGCGTCGATGGGTGAAGTCAAGAGCAGTGGTCTAAGCGTGCGAAAGAAGTCAGGTGCCTTCACGTGACAGGAACAGAAATCGGGGGGGAGTTGAGACACCACAAAGACCCCCTACCGTTACCGGTAGCGGGAACTTGAACTGCTCACTGCATGTTGATGCGGCCCCGACATGCCGGTCGAAGGTACTTTACGAGGGGCCTCTGCCTCCAAGCCCCGGCGCGGTGGTGAGGTCTGTATGTACACGATGCTCGCCTCTGATATCATCTAACCACTGCCGCGGTAGGGCTACCACCCATACGCCCGCTCGAAGTCCGTAAGGGCATCATCCAACGAGTCTTCGTCTACGCCTAAACAGACTCACTCACACACTGATCAAACGCACAAGGTCTGTCATATTTTTTACAATGCTGAATCAATAAGACTGACGCGCAGTATTGTGAGCGTAGGCTCCTGCTACAGGTTCGAAAGGGCGTCGTACCACAGGCAAATCGAACCGGCTGAAGGACATCCAAGATGCTCTTTCTGAGTCCTCGTCAAGTCCTTCTACATCCACCTCGGCACCTTCCTCCCCCCAACTACGCCCGTGTGGACGCCTCGAGAGACTGTGCGCGACGTATATATCGAAACAGTCCGGAAGCTACACCCCTACTACACTCCGAAGAACGACTACGAGCTTCTTCTTCTCAGCGGCGGGATCTATAA